GATGGAATATGAATCTCTAGGAAATGTGAATGTTGTTATAATAGCACATATTTTTAGATCAAGAATAGTATGTTTTACATTATTTTCATTAAATGTTTATGAATATATATGATAGAAAATATTTCTAAAATTACATATACAGTAGTGTGACATGATTTGGAATAAATATTCAATTAAAGGTTTTTTCACATAAACTTTATTTTGTACTTCAATGGTAGTTTGTTTTTATTTTTATTTTTCTGTTGATTAGTGGATTAATATGTACTAGTAATAATGTTTATATATGGTAAAACATGTATGTTATTTATGCAATATAATTTCAACAGTCAATTTTTTATTAGTTTAATGGCAGCATTTATTGTCATCAACACATGCTGCCATTGTCACAATGTAGTAAAGTTTAAAAGTTGTCTATGTATAATGATTTTTTATACCAAATTGTTAGGGTGTTATGTTTTTTAGAATTTACTGTGAAATAAGTTTAATATATAATCACAAAATGTAGCTCAAAGACAACATGAAATTAAACAATAAATTTTGGTCCAAGATAATTGAAATACGTTTTGTTAGACTAATTATGAATATAACTATTATATAAAACAATATAAGTACTCTACACTTGTTTATAATTGTAAATTTACTTTGTGAAATTAATTTTATTACAAAATTAATTGTGGTAAAAATTACAATTTTTTTTAATTTTTTTAAATATGTTTAAATTGTAACAAATAATTATTTTCAAGTAATAATTTAACCTAAAATGATTATTGTTCAATTAGGTACAACCAAAATGTTAGTGATATTGATTATTTTTGCATTTATTAAGTTTTATAAAAGATATAAAACCCTCACCAATTGATTTAATGGTTTGATGTCAGGTTAACATGAGTCAAGTTTTTAAATTTAAAATGCTAACATAGTATTCATGTTATAATATTGTTGTTACAAGTCTATTTATGTCATGCCTAATTATTAACATCAATTATTTACCATGAAATAACATTGTTTTAGATTCCCTTCAGAATGCCTGTTGAAAAGAAAAACTGAAGAAACTTTAAAACTGTATGATGCCAACTAAAGAAGTTGAAACACCGTTATTCATGGTGTCACTCGAGGCTTCAGTTTTTCAGTATTTATTTTTGTATTTTATTATATATGTTATGTTTATTTTATTTTTTGTTTTTGTTATTTTTGTAACAGCAAACTTTGTGAATAATTAATTGCCCTGCCCTAACCCTGACTTCAGTCTAGCTATTATTATTATTATTATTAGTATTGAGTTAGCTTGTGATTTGTGCGTGTGTTTTTGTTTACCTAGTGTTTGTTAGTTATATGCAAGATATGGCATGGTATGGCACACTGCATGGTATGCCCTAAATAATATTATCAATAAATATTTTTATCTATACTTTTTAAATATGTTTGCTATAATTTATTACATTATTCAAATGTTTATTTTTAGTTTTTAAATTTGTGTAAAAGTGGATGAAAGCACTAAAGAAAACAATAACCATAAACTTTAAAGCATAATTTTGTCATGCGATTATGGTGGCGATATGAGAGAACTACTGTGACGGAATATTACTATTGTCGAACAGTTTTGCATCAAAAAGTTTTGTATCAAATATTATGAAATTTAAATCTGTTTTTTCAATTGATTTGTAAAAAATATGTCAGACCAAATATTCATTTGCCAAATACATTTTATTGCCCTGGCAGCTATTTTAATATAGATAACATAAATAACTTTTACTTTTTAACTTTATATAAAAAATGCGACGCGTTTTAATCAAAAAATAGTCACATTATTTTGCAGATTTATTTTCAATACAGACTCTTTTTGATCTTAACGACGACCAGAAAGCAAAACCTATAGTATAGGCCTTTAGACTTTTGATCAAAATGAAACAACTTAAGACAGCTGTTTTAAAATTCATTTGGAACAGAATCTTGAAAGAGTTTAATTAGGTTCAACAAAACCAGCTTAAATAAAAGTCAGCTTAACTTAGGTTTGGTGTAAGAACTTTGCAACTCCCTAAGGCAATACGTGCAGCAAGTTCGCTCTAATTTCAAGCAATATGAAAAGAAAGTCGTGTCTTTGGTCAACAAAGAGGAATTACGATGATGAAAATAACAGTGTAAAAACTAAAGTAATTTCATGATTGCCGACTTTAATGAGATCACTGACAAACTTATGTGTGATTTAGATAAAAGGAAGAAAACCTCTTCTTAATTGAACTCTCTGTTCGGTTTTCTTGTGAGTGTCCGCAACATGGATATCTTAGAGATTATTTTGAAAACAAAAAAACTTGATGAACGATATCCTTTAGTTCTTAACTTTCACCTGTTAAACCAAAATCTTCATTTGGAGCTTTTTTCAGAAACGTTTTTCAGAGCTTTCTATTTTTAAAATAAAAAACCGGACATTGGATTCCATTGACCTAAAAAAACTTCATATCTGCATTTGCAAGCTTAAAACGCAGACAAAAGGTGTTTTAAAACCTGTACTAATCACAGGGTGTTTTTAATAACGTGCGGCCGTGGCGCAGTGGTTACAGCGCTTGCTTTTTAAGCAAGAGATCCAGGTTTAAAACGAGCGCAAAGACAAAAAACTGCTGAGACAAAAAACCTAAAATGCTAGGAGGCTAAGAAGTACTTAACCCAGCCCTATTATCACCTTATCATAAATAAAACTGTTACAGCATTTCTTGACAGTGAACAAATTAAGTATGTAAAAACAATTGAAAAGCAAGCTTATGATCTCGAAACTTGTTTTACTATAGACTTTTGGACTCATTTAAAAGAACCGAGTTTACAATAATAATTAGGTAATCAAAAATACAAAATAACTCAAACGTTGAGCTAATAAAAACATTATACCATGCTCTTTCGAGAGTTTATAAAGAACATTAAAAAAAAAAAGGTATATAAACGATTTTATTTGCACTTATCAAAAATATACCAATATATTAGCTATTATTATTTATTATTTGGCTTGTTTTTAATTATATATATATATTTATATATATATATATATATATATATATATATATATATATATATATATATATATATATATATATATATATATATATATATATATATATATATATATATATATATATATATATATATATATATATATATATATATATATATATATATATATATATATATATATATATATATATATATATATATATATATATATATATATATATATATAATATATATGCATATATATATATATACATATATGTATATATGTATATATATATATATATATATATATATATATATATATATATTATATATACATATGGATATATATATATATATATATATATATATATATATATATATTATATATACATATGGATGAGCATGTTTAGATATTGCGCCAATGTCGAATTAGTAACATAATTTTTTTAATTTTTTGTATCAAAATTTATTTCATTTGCAAGACAGCATATAAATATTTAATTAAATTGTAATTAAAAAACTTCAAATATAAATGTATAGTTTGAAATTGAATTCGTAACAAAATAGTATCGAAAAGAAAAGAAAACTCCACTTTGTATTATTGAATAAGGCTGTTATAAAGTAGGAAAAGATAGTATATAATAAATCTTACACTTTTAATAATCTAAGTTTGAGCCGATTATATATTTTTTAAAGCGTTTCTCAAAATAATTCAAAAAAAGTTTGAAAAAATACTTTAGTTTTATAGTCAAATTTGTTTAGTTAATTTTTTAACACTTTAATTTAAAGTTTAAGAAAAAAAAACTTACTTAAAAAAACATATTTGACAAAAAAAAGTTATTTAAAAAAACAAACGCCTAATATATAATGTCATCAACATTGTAATCCGATTTAAAATTATTCTTTTGTTATTGATGCTAAATTCTTTAATTTATAACTACATAAACAATTGAATTTTAAACTATACTTTTTAAGTTACATGCCTTTTAACTATTATTTAAATCTTTATAAATGTTTGTGTTGTGTTGCAATTTATAAATTTTAATACAAAATAATCAAAATAAGAAATAATTATTAATAATTAAGAGTGAGTTGTACTTTTTATTATCTTTAAAAAAAGGCATTAACGAAGTCAATATTATTAACTGCTCAACTCCAGTCATATCATAAATGGCAGTAAAAAATTAATAAAAATTAATTTTTATTCCTTTTTTAACTTAAGACTTTATTTATAAATGATTTAAAAATTATTGAGAGTTGAACAATAATTATTGATGAAGTACGAAAACGAGAAATAAAAAGACAAAAACAAAAAGTAAACTCAATTTGGGATACATCACCTAATTGATTTTAGTGGAAACTAATTAATAGTATGCAAAATAAGATTAAGCCAAAAATAAAATGAAACTTAAATATATATATATATATATATATATATATATATATATATATATATGTATATATATGTATATATATATATATATATATATATATATATATATATATATATATACATATGAAAGACATAAAATAAATTATGTAAAAAATTAGCTTTTATACTTTTTGTTCAATCGTAGACGTCAAAAGATGGGTACTTTGTTTTGTTATTGTAATACGTAAATTTACGTATTATAGTTTTGTATAACAAGTTATAATAAAAATGTTAATATTTTATTTATATTACACATGCATTTACACAAGCGTTTTTATATATTGTTTTTATTATATACTAATATATACCACATTTTGTCGTATTTTTATTAGATGTTTATATATAGCACATTTTAAGTTGTATTATATACACATTTTCTATTAGAAATTATAATAAAAAATATATAAAATAATAAATATACATAACAATGTCGTATGAAATTAAATATTTTAATATTTAATTTCATATGATAATGTTTTCATTTTAATAAAAACAAAAAAAAATTGAAAATTATTTTTAAAAATGAAATTATTAGTATAACATTCCAATAAACCTGGTCAATTAGCAAAAACTTTTAAAACATTACCTTTGCCTTTTGCCTAGAATTAACACGAGGTTGCCTTTATAAACGTTGTAAGAAAAAATTTTAACTATTTGCGGCGTTTTGATATTTCTAATAAAGATATTAATCCTATTATATTAAAAAACAATATTTTCATAAAATGATATATAATACGACGTAATTTCGTTTGATTATGTTTTTAATACAATAGCTTTCTTAAATTAAAAAGTTGTAAAAAAGTAAAATAGCAAATAAAAATTTGTTCATTTATTATTTTTCATAGCTAAATATTATTATTTATAGCTAAATATTTTTACATTAAGTGAATGTTTATTTATAACTTATTTAATATCTGTAAAAAGTTATACGTCTTTTTTACTGTTGCTGTTGTTATTTATTCCGCTTCCGTACTTTGGTGCTTCTCTGCTTATCTAGTTAATGTGTGAGATATTTGCAATAAAAATGTTTCACCAATAGGTAAACGAATCAAATATGTTCCGCTTAATCCTGACCGTTTGACTTAATTAGTTTTTTGAGCTTTCATCTGCTATACCTGGATCATGTTTCAGAATATTATTAAATGCAATGATGCATTTGTAAGGGAGATAAGGACGTATTGATTGCCGGCACAGCATGATCTTTTTAACTTTTTTTTTAACTCATTTACTTTTGCCTTACTTTTTATGACAGAGATTGCAATTTTATTAAGCATTAAACAAGCTTTTATTGTTTAACCATAATATTTTTTAATAAGATCAATTTCTGCAATAAGAAAAATGAAAATATAGTTTTTCATCATGGAAAGTGATTTTTTTTAAAGTAACAAACAAATTCAAACAAATTTTTAATTAAATTTTCATATAAATTTACAACCATATTTTTGTAAACTCATATGTGTTAAGTTTATAACAATTTGTTTTTTTGAGTTGGTTACAGAAGCTATTAGCATTAATTTAACACCTGTATCTATTGTGACTCATTGATTGTTGACTATGCGGCGCTCATTAATCGGAGGATCAAAATGCCTTGTATTATAAGACTTATATTATTTGTTTAAACTGTACCCAGTCAGGAATTTGACATCATATTGATATCAAAATGATATTAAACTATGATATATATAATATCATGATATGAGACGTTTATGATATCAATATGATATCAAAATAAAATCACTCATTGATATTATTCTGAACTCAAGCCCTGATATCATAATATGAGAAGTTTATGATATCAGTATGATACCAAAATGAAATCACGCTTTGATATCATTCTGAACTCAAAACTTGGCATCAAACTATGAGAAGTTTACGCAAATCTTGTTTTTATAATAATTCGCTATAATTATTTTATTTAATTATATTTTAATAAAAAAAATTTGTATTATTATTTTAACTAATTATATTCTTATAAATAATATTTTATAAATATTTAGAAGGATTTTCTATTTATTTAGTAAAGTTAAATTATATCGGATAAATTACCATTTTTGGTGAAACTGATACATGTCATATTTTATATGTTTAAATATAAATTCAATATTATATTACATAATGCTTCAAAAAAAAGTCAATATTTAGTCATATTTTTTATTGAAAAAAATTATAGGCAGCAAATATTCAGGTAAAGCCTTAACAAAAAGAAATACAGAAAATGTCACAAAATTGTAGATCAATTTTTAACAGATATATATTCAGAGAGATATGGACATGATATAGCATAACTTTAACTTTACAATTGGGTTTTTGACAGTTATGCAGTCTTGATCGAAAAGTCACTTTTTGAATGTTGCATTCTACTTCTTATCTAAATAAAATTTATATTTATCGTCTGATAACAATGTTGCGAGCTGAAAATAATAAACAAAAATATTAGCCACCAACAAAAATGTAAACTATTGCCTAAATATTTATAAAATAAAAAAAATTTTTACCTTATCAACAAATTTGTTTTATAAAACGTAATGTAATTTTTTTTCTGATAAGAGTTAGTTATTGCCAACACACAAGCTTTATTGCTTTGCAACTCAAAATACAGTTATAAACCTAGAAAACCTAGAAAGAAAAGAAAATAAACATTATATCTCAGACTTGTGCAAAAGCATTGAATAATGTTGCAAAATTAGTTCTTTTTGTATAAGTTTACAGTAAAAGTTGAAAACTAGGCCTACCTTAGTATTTAAAAAACACTAATAAGCAGTCCCCAAAAGTTTTAAATAATTCAAAAAGTTCAAATGATTTGTTATTTTAAAATTTAAATATGCAATTAGTAACAGTAAATAAAGCTTGTGGATCCAACGAAGTAAATGAAAATAAACTTAGTTCTGAAAGTTTATCAGTACCAAGTGGAACTATATAATTGACAGTGCTGTCAATTGTATAGCAACAAAATTTAACAAAAAATGATCTTCCTAAACTCTGAAAAATAAGCACAGACTCATAATAGAACATGTCATTGTACCACAACATAAATAAATAACACATATGCCTATGTATGTATTTAATTAACTTAGTTGACTGTAAACATTTATTATTTTGGTATTGTATATTAATTTATTACTATTGCTATTAAATTTGATATTTTGGTATTGTATATTACTATTTTACCCGACATGAGCCATTGTCATAATTTTATTAAACTTTAGATTTCATAAAACATCATATCTTGAAATATACTAAATTATAATCTAAGAGAATTTTTAAATATTAATTAATACTAAAATATATATATATATATATATATATATATATATATATATATATATATATATATATATATATATATATCATTTATCATCCAGTCTCGAGGCAACTGCTTTCATAATTCTTTGCATTAAATTTTTTTACAAAATGCTGCTGATGATAATTTTTTTAAGTTACCTAGTATTTTGAGCTACTACTTGAGAAGGATATTGTATTATTTTTTTTATTGCTGATATCATAAGCTAAATGATTTAAACAATGAAAGTTATAAATTGACTAATAGATGATCAGAGTAGAACACTATGGGATTGTTCTCAGAGCAACAAAGAAGTTCATGAATATAACCTTATTGAGTCAAATAATCTTTTCTGTACAGTTTATGTTCAAGATAAGCTACACTTGAACTAACAATTAAATAATGGATGTATTTTTCTTTGCTAAGTATATGACTTAAAACCACATACTCACAATATAAAAGAAAAAAATATATTTTTTAGACTTAATTTTACAACATGATTTACAAATAAATTCTATATGAATGGTTTATTCAAGGAACATAAATAAACAGGTAATTAATTTGCGCAGATGACAATCAAAGAAGCAGTCCTTTTCCTAAATAAAACGTATTATTTTAGTACAAGCAAGGTTTCCATCTTAAATTATGTTGAGAGGGAACTGCTGTACTATATCTACTTTAAGTAACTCCAAGACACAGATATCCTTGTAATGATTTTTCTGATATTTTTTCTCCACAAAATGTTTTAGCAGTGAGTACCAATGGAGACAAAAATTCATTAAAACATCATTTTTTTTTAATTTAATATATATTTGCTGTTTATATATTAAGAAATATATTTACAAAGTAACGTTTACATACAAAAAAAAGTGAATTTATAATAAACAGGCAGGGGCTAAAAGGAGATACGGATGACTAAAGTCACCACAATCTTTTCATAGAGCCCCTAGGTGGGCTTTACAAGTTGAAAAAAATAGTATCTCCAATATAATAAAAACGTTAAAGCTTGCATAAATACTACCATTAAATCAAGAAAGTAAATAACATCGTATAGTTTTATCAATATTCATTAAAATACATTGGCAACTCTGTTAAGTATCAAAAAAAGAGCCAATTAACAAGTAAAAAAACTAAGATTAATGGAACTCGTTTTTCATTTCAAAAAATCAAGAGAACTATTTATCTAATTTAAAAATTTCATTTTTTATTATAAACTTAAAGGAATTTAATGATTTTACAGTATAAATTTTTTTTTTTTGAAAAGTGTTCCATAGTTTTGGTCCACGGTATGATATTCCATACTCAGAATACTTACTATTAATTCTTGGTAATTTATAAGTATTCCATTGGTTTATTCTAAGAAAATATTTTTTGTTTACATTTATTGTAAATTTATCATTAAAGTTTTTTATAATCAAGCTGTTGTTACATTTATACATTAAAATTAGGTGTTGGTAAATGTTCATTTCATATATATTCATCATTTTCATGTCTTCCATTAATGGTTTTGCATGTTCATATATTTTTTATATATATAAGTCTGCATGCTTGTTTTTGTAAAGGAAATATTTTTTTAGTTTTGTTGGTTGAGTACTAGCCCATGTGATATTGGTATAGTATATGAAACAATGTATTAGGCCATAATATACTAATTTCAGACTTTCTGATGTTACATATGGACAAATACAGTACATTTGACCAATTGTTTTACTAATTTTTGATTGAATATAATTAATATGGGGAAGCCATGATAAATTTTAAAAAAATTTGAAAGGAAGAGATTTGTGTCGTCAGCAAATATTATTGAGTTAAGCTTAGCTGATGCATTATTAAAATTATTTACATAATTCAAGAAAGTCAATGGACCAAGAATTGACCCTTGCGGAACTTTAACCATAATAATAAGTTTACCTGATTCCTTACTAGTAACATATTGTTTTCTCTCAGTGAGGTAGCTTTTTAACCAATCATAGGTTTTATTTATCACTCCATAGTGTTTTATTTTTTCCAAAAGACTTAGGTGATCAACCGTATCAAATGCTTTTGATAGGTCAATAAATAATCCTAAAGTGAAGCTATTATTTTCAAATTCTTTAGTAATTTGGTCTACTATTTCAGTTATTGCGTGTTCTGTTGAATGTTTTTTCCGAAAACCAAACTGTTTTGTATAAAATAAACTATTTTCATTAAAATGGTTATAGATTCTATTATAAATTACACGTTCAAATATTTTTGAAAATACAGAAAGTACTGATACAGGTCTATAATTAGAGATTTCAGATTGATCATTATTTTTGTAAATTGGACATACTTTTGCCAACTTTAATGGTTCAAGAAAAATTCCTTCTTTTTATGAAAGTTTTGTAATATAGAGCAAAGGTTTTGAGATGTATTTTTTGTTTGAAATAACTATATTACTAGAAACATCATCGAAACCAGGTGATTTATTCTTTTTTCAAAAAGAAAAAGCAATTTTATACTCTTCATGAGAAAATTTGCGATCTTGCAGCATCGCGCCATTTAAAGACCATTTAAAGGTTTATTCCACCTTACAATTACATCCATATTGACCATTATAGAGATTAAACAAGAGCTTTAGCTGGTGCATCACAAAATTGTTTTACCTTTTACTTGTGTGACTTTTCCATTAATATAAATAATGTCAATTGCCATGAGGGGTCATCCATAAAGTATGGATGCAGGTTTGGGGGAAAAAGTTTACCCAAAAACTTATGAATGCGTTCAAGAGAGAGAGAGAGAAAGAGAGAGAGAGGTTAAAGACAACAAGTATGTACGTGGTTCAAATAATTCTCATTCTCTATCTATTTGAAAAATTGATTTCTTTTTTTATTAACATCAGCATAGAGTTTCTTGAGTTTAAAAAATTATTAATCTGCTAAGTAACAAAACTAATAATTCTGTTATGTGTGATGTCAAATTAACTAAAATTTTTTGTTTATAATGCTTTGAAAAAATTATGAATTAGAAAAAAGTTGGGGGAAAAAGGTTGATTTTGTGATAATATATATGTATGCAGTGGGAGGAGAAAAAAAGCATGAAAAGCATATAGGTGTGTACAATGAAAAGGTGTACCTTAATCAGTGGTTTTACTGCATACATACGTTATGTATGTCCCCCTAAGATTTACCCGTGAAGTCTTTCAAATTTTCTAAACTAGCTAACATCTGTAACAAATGGAACGGTTTAACAAATATTGTCAATATGATACTAGATTGGCCAGAGAAACATATTTGCACTTTTATAGATTTATGGATTGGCGGTCTGTCAATGGTTATAGACTAACTTCATAAAGTCTATAGTATAGATAGTATAGATCTCAAAATACCATCTTTAATTTTTTTTATTACCATTTTTTATCAAAACACCATCTTTTATCCTAAAATACGTATACTCACCAACTAAACCAATAAGAAGTAATATGATGCAACTAAATGCAGTAAAAGAAAAATAAAAATTAAGATTTAATTAAACATAAAATAACTGCAAGGAAATATCAAAAAAAAAGTATCCAATACAAATATTTAAATTTTTAAATAAGTATAACAAGTGAAATATCTTGGAAGATTTACAAACTTAACTTTATAGTAACATCTGACTTAAACCTAACTTTATAGTAACATTTAAGGCATTTTCAATAACGTTATAACTTGTGCTGGAAGATTAACACAAAAATAATTAAAAAGTAGTTACTCTTGTTAGAGGACTGAACATTTTACAGTCCATCAACTAGGTCTTCTCTTTATGTCAGCATAATATTATTATTACTTTCATAATTAATGCTTTTACTATCAGTGGCAAAGTTCTTAAATCCTTTCTGCTGCATTTATAGATTACCAGTCCTAATAACTCCTATTTATAGGATTTAAGTGCTATGGATTTTAGATTATGGATTTTAGTCCTAATAAGCCTTTCTAATAAGTTCTATTCTAACTGTTATTTAAGCAACCAGAGTTTTTAACTTCTACATATACAACATTTATTAACTACGCTAATTTAAAAAACTTTCTACAAGCATAGCTAATTCATTTGTGCTTTCCTTCTACATTTGGAACTTCTTAAATGATTTATGTTTAAAATTTTTACTGATGTAATTGTTGTTATGAATGCTTTGTAAAAAGTTTATTCAAATAAACATTCAAATAAGTTGATTACCATAGGCTTGTTAACTCTGAGAATACAAAAAAGAGAGATTCGTTCCAATTATACATCCAGCTGTAAGTTACCTCGATAAAATTTGAAAACCTTTTTTAAACAACAATTGATATCTTTACCATACAACTAAGTCAGGGTTCGTACTCAATTTTCAATATAAAATTCCATGACTTCTATTTAAAACCTGCCAATTTTCAAACAAACAAAACGAAAAATATTTGATAGACCATCGAGGTCATATTTAAAAATTGTTTGTTCCATTATACGAAAAAATTCGGAATAAGTCAGCTAAATTTTTGAAATTTTTTTTTTGAAAATTTCCTTAAATTGCATGAGTGATGTCTAAAAAACCCTAAAAAATTAAATATATTACACAAATATGTACTTAAACTTGTATGTATGGAAAACCTTTTGGATATGCAGAAAGACTTAAAGTCTTGATAAATATCTGAATTTCCTGGAATATTCAGAAAAAGATAATCCCTTATAAAAACCTTTCCCTCGCAGAGCATTTAATTAAACCAAATATAATTTAAAATTCAGTGAAAATCACAACAAAAAAAAAGAGCATTATTTCTTTATGTCTTATACGACAGAGATACTTAGCTTTTAAAGTGGTTGCATAAACTCGTTGAAGAATACGAAGTTAACTAAAAATATTTTTTATAACAATTTTATAACAGTTTTATTTTATAACAATTTTAATAACAAATTTTCCAACATTATTTTATAATAATATTTATAACAAATTTTATAACATTATTTTATAACAATATTTGTAACAAATTTTATAACATTATTTTATAACAATTTTTATTCACAATTTTACAAAAAATGAGACATTTTTACATTTGGTAACATGTATTTTGAAGAGAAAAGACTAAAAGATAAGAAATCAAATCGAAGTATAAAAAAATTAATTAATAAAAAGTATAGCAAATTCTTTTTTCTTGGCTTTTTAGTGAATGATTAGAAGCAGTGAGTTCCAGTAATGAAACTAACTAATAATCATTTTTAATGATAGACACCAACGGAAAGGTAAGCCAAGCTGTCTATTAACACAAAACAACACAACAATAACGTTACAACTATAAGGGATCTTCCATAAATGACACATTTATTATTTTTTTAAATATGCGTGGATAATCATTTGTCAATTTGTTAGTTTTAAGGAGGTATATACGGACACACAATAATAGCACAAACACAGCATTATATATTTGACTTTTTCTATGATGGCTATTTAAATTTGAAATTAACATATATTTAACATAAAAGGATATTTGCAACAAAAAAAATGGCAGTAAAATTATAAATACTGTAAAACTGTTAAGTTAATATTATAAGTCATTATACAACTGGCTTTCCAGTAACAAAATCTGGCTTTCCAGTAACAATATCCGGCTTCCCTGTATCAAAAACTGGTTTCTCAGTAACAATAACTGGTTTTTCCGAGTATCAAAGACTGGTTCTTCCCAGTAACTGCCTTCTCAGTAACAAAAAATGGTTTTCCGGCAACAAAAACTGGCTTTCCAGTAAAAACAATTAGTAAAAATTAAACGATACGCTAGCATCAGGTGCCTTTGTCATTATTTGTAAAAATGCATTGTCAAAAATCACATACACAAATTCAGTTTAACTGATATGGTGTTATTAAAATGTATTTAAAATTCCAAATGGCATTACAAATATTGAATTTTATAGTCCTTAATAATTTGAAAACAACTGTGATTTCATATCTATTTGTATTGAATGATCCTTATGTGTTTGCAACTACTCATAAGTTAAATCTTCAACTTTATAATTAAAAAATGCATTAAAAAACAAATATTCTGCCAATTGCGATGCATGTAAAACAGTTAATTAGTATATTAATGAAATTATTAAAAAGATTGATGAAATGCAATTGTTTATAAAAAATGTTTTATTAAATGAATATATAAACCAAAACATGATTACTTTTTAAATACAATTTTTTATACATCATAAAATATTCTCGTATAAGCAATTTATAAAAAAAAGTACAATATATTAGAAACATCAAAAGTGAAGTTAATTATTTAATGACAAATACATGTTTAATAAACAAAGAGGAAAGAAAAAGAAAAATTGAAATAAGACATGATTCAATAAATTCCAAACCCCTCTTTAGGGTATGTGTCCCGCTTTTAAAAATACGTCATAAGACAGATCTGAAACAAAAAACACAAATAAAAATATCATTGTATGGTATAGCAAGAAAGAATATTCAAAATAATATTTAAATAGTTAAAATAAAATTTTAAAACTACAAATTAAGAACATTCGAAAATATAACATTATCTGTGTATTTTTCACCTGCCATCCTTAAATAGGATGTTTATCAACTTTAAAAAACAAACTATTAAACGCCCTTGTTCTTAAACACGCTACAAACAATCGACCATGAGAGAAACATGGTTGTTTTAAATAAACACCGACTCTATCAAACGTTTGACCTTGATATTTGTTAATTGTCATAGAATATGCCAATCGGACAGGAAACTGGCGATGTTTGAGAACAAAAGATAAATTAGAATCCAACGGAGCCAACTGAATTCTAGTAACAAATACCTGTTTACCTTCAGAAACACCTGTCAAAACCTCTGCATCAATATAATTGTTTTGGAGAGCACAAGCTTTCATTTGGATGCCATTACAAAGCCCAGCTTTAAGATCTAAATTTCTAAGTAGAATAATTACACAATCAACTTTCAATGTTAAACAATGAATAGGCATACATGAAAGAGTTAAGCTGTTCAAAAACTCAACAGGGAAATTGTTTATTTCAGTAAGATCGTTAGTCTCTATTTGACCAGCACTTAAATAAGTTTTGACCTGTCCATGTAGGCGTTCAAGTACTTCTTTAATGATTGTCAATGAAGCCACATTAGTGGGTGTTAAAATGACACGTTTAGCATAATCACTTGTTGAGCATCTCCGAATATTTTTTCAACAATTGATTCGTTTTCTCTAATAATGCACTCTTGCGGTATTTCAAATATCCTTTAAAAGGATCTTCCTCCTTGACAAGTATTATTTCACTACCTAGTTTTAACAGCCATTTGGAAAATTTTCCTCCTCCATCATATACTCTCATATTTTCAGTTAATGTAAATTTCTGCACCTATTGCTACTGTAAAGAATATTTTATACATGATTCCACAACTAAAATCATCAAATAAAACAAATAATTAATAAAAATAAAAAATCGTTAACGCATCAACACATAACAAGTCTAATACAAACTTTAAAAAGTAAATACAGCGTATTCTCATTATTAAATATAAAAGCTTGCCTCGTGTATTTTTAAAAGTAGATTGGAAACTGTTTGCGCTAGAGTATTTTACAGAATATTGAACCGTTGCTAATATCGAACAATGGTAACTAACGGCATTTAACATTAATAACTGGACTATTCATATTTAAAAAAATTTAATAGTGTTAAATACTAATATTAACAATATTAGTTTTTAGTTTTACATAAGTTTTACTATTAGTTTACATAATATTTTGTGTGAAATACTTTTTTTGTAAACGATCATTTTGTATTTATGTTTTTTTTTAATTTTTAGATCTTTAAATAGCTAGGTAGAGAAAAAAAAGATAGGCATAGTTGCTACATCATGTGATACAATGAAAGAAGATGTTAATAAAGTTTCAGAGGGCTCATCAGTGAATATTGTAACTCGCAAATTTAGCATAAATCAAATGACATTTTCATCACCATCAGTGAATGTTGTAACTTGCAAGTTTAGCTTATTCTAAATGAATTTTTTAAGCCAAATTGCAACAACAAACAAGCTTTTACTATATTTTACAGATAATGAAATAAGTGTACTAATTTATCTACTACTTGCATCAAAAATGAATTTTAGACTTTTAACTAAGCCAACACAATTATTGACGTATTAGTTAGCTGTAAAAAATAATAAGATCTACCCTTCATTGTGGATCATAAACAAAATTTCAGTGATTGATAGGTTGCAAGATTTTATGAAAATACAAACAGAGTTGTCTTTACAAACAACTCAGGTAATTAGCTTTGCTTGATCAACTGCCTTCAATCGACATAATGTAGGATAATTTTTTCTAAATCTGAAAACAGTAAGAAGTTGATGTAAACTTGATCCTTATTGCATATATAATATTGATGAAACTGGTTTAACAACGATACAAAAGACAGTAAACGTGTTAGCAGATAAAGGAAGTAAACAAGTAGGAAGAACCATATTTGCAGAACGAGGAATATTAATAACTGTATGTTGTGCTTCAAATGCAAATGGAAACTCTATTTCTCCACTATTTGTTTTTCCTAGGGTTAAGCTTCATGATCATACGATAAAGGTAGATCCTCCTGGATGAGTAGGATTCGCAAATCCTTCTGAGTATATAAATTTAGAAATTTTTATAGAATTGATGAAACATTTTATGAGATATTTAAACTGTTATTATGATGTTCCATTTTTGTTACTTCTGAACAGCCATAAAAGTCATATTTCTGTTAGAACTTTGGATATTGCAATTTAACATGGAATTGCAATGAAAGGTTTTCGTAAACATTGTACCCATAAAATGTAACCATTAAATGGAACTGTTTTCTGACCATTTAAAAGCTTTTTAAATGCTGCCTGTGACATTTAGATAATCACAAAACCAATACCTATAACCAGTTGCAATATTTTTTCAATGGTTACCGAACCCTATACAAAAACTTTCTTACCATCTAATATACAGAGAGGATTTTAAGTAACTGGCATTAAACAGTACAATCCAGAAATTATTAAAGATGATCAATATTTACTATTATCAGTTAAAGATCGTGCTGTCAGAGTTAGGGTCAGGGGTAAGGGTTAGGGTAAGGTTTAGGGTCAGGGTTAGGGTTAGGGTTAGGGTTAGGGTCAGGGTTACGGTTAGGGTTAGGGTTAGGGTTAGGGTCAGGGTTAGGGTTAGGGTTAGGGTTAGGGTTAGGGTTAGGGTTAGGGTTAGGGTTAGGGTCAGGGTTAGGGTTAGGGTTAGGGTTAGGGTTAGGGTCAGGGTTAGGGTTAGGGTTAGGGGGTTAGGGTTAGGGTTAGGGTCAGGGTTAGGGTTAGGGTCAGGGTTAGGGTTAGGGTTAGGGTTAGGGTTAGGGTTAGGGGGGAATCAGAGTTAGGGTCAGGGTTAGGGTTAGGGTTAGGGTTAGGGTTAGGGTTAGGGTCAGGGTTAGGGTTAGGGTTAGGGTTAGGGTTAGGGTTAGGGTTAGGGTTAGGGTTAGGGTTAGGGTTAGGGGTTAGGGTTAGGGTTAGGGTCAGGGTTAGGGTCAGGGTTAGGGTCAGGGTTAGGGTTAGGGTTAGGGTCAGGGTTAGGGTTAGGGTCAGGGTTAGGGGTTAGGGTTAGGGTTAGGGTTAGGGTTAGGGTTAGGGTTAGGGTTAGGGTTAGGGGTATAGTTGTAGAGATTTTAGTAGGATCGAGGCGGACATAAGTCGGTTCGACGCGCTCACTAAAAAAGTAAAAAAGGGTCGGAGCGGAAAAAAGTAGGTTCGAGGCGGATTTTTTCTGAAAAACCGGGTCCAGGCGGAATTTCGGTTCTAGGCGGACAGAAATATTCCGCCTAGACCCGACTTTATTCCGCCTCGATCCTACAGGGTAAAAAAGTATTCCGCCTATACCCTACTGTAAAGTCGCCTATGCCCTTGACAAATTCCGCTTATATCCTTTATAAAATTATGACTAAATAAGACTATATTTGACTTTATATATAAGATTTAGGCTGAAAGTACTCGAGAGTACATGATAAAGGGTATAAATGTATTATGTGTAGCCTATATAACTCGGGTTAGCTTATATTGCTTTATAGCTTATAAAATTATAACAAAATAAGACTATAATCGACTTTATATATAAGATTTAGGCTGAAAGTACTCGAGAGTACATGATAAAGGGTATAAATGTATTATGTGTAGCCTATATAACTCGGGTTAGCTTTATATTGTTGTATAGCTTATAAAATTATAACAGAATAAGACTATATTCGACTTTATATATTAGATTTAGGCTGAAAGTACTTAAAAGTACATGATAAAGGGTATAAATGTATTATGTGTAGCCTATATAACTCAAGTTAGTTTTATATTGAATACAATGTATACTATAAATGTTAAAATAATGATAAAACTAGCTTTCAAAATAGAATTATTTGTATAAAACTAGGAAAACAAGATAATATTTAATTCCTAAGGTGGGTATTTCATATGTTTGTTATGTCAAAGGTTAAACCTAACTAATAAAGTAACACTTTAAGGTATTTTCAACCTACTTTTTAATATTTTAGGCATTTTTAGGACAAACAAAACAACACCCATTGATAGTATTTGCATTTTCAAAGTTGCTGCCCAATTTTGCATTAAAAAAATGTTTAATTTATAACGTTCGTTGTACACTTTGTTTCTAAACAATGTTACACCTGTTTTTTGTTAGTTTTGTGCAATCTATGAACGAACTATACTGCAGCTGTTAAAAGTGTTTGCACCATTAGACTCTCCGTTTAATTTCCTATCGAAATGATGTATGATATGTGACGGCTGCCGTATATTTTGTCTCTAATCGACGTTTTTCTGTCAAAAAAAACTGTTTTGTGACGGAGTTTTTTGCAATTTATCAACATACGACACGGCACCCGTCAAATCTGTGTGACATTATATACTCACCGTTTGATCCTCTATCGAATGGATGTATCACATGTGACGGCTGCCGTATGGGTTGTCTCTAATTGACGTTTTTCTGTCGCCGCCCCTCATATTTTTGCGACAGTTTCTTGCAGATTAGAGACAAACTATAGCGTTTTATCAAATTCTGTTTGCGGCATTGATCTCAGCATTGAATTATCTATTGAAATGATGTATAATACATGGCATTTCAAAAATTGACTTTTTCCCTGATGGTACCATCAGGGAAATTGGGTCAAAAATCGATCTTTGAGATTGCCATATGGTATACATCATTTTGATAGAGAATTTAACTGCGAGTTTAACGGCGCAAACCGTTTTGACGCTTGTCGCATAGTTTGTCTCTAAATTGCGTTTTTCGAACAGTTCCCCCCCTGTTTTTTTAGCAGTTTTTACCCGTTTACAGACAAGGTATACGGCAGCCGTTGAATGTGATACCATCGTTAGACTCTCCGTTCGATTCTCTATCGAACTGACGTATGATATATGACGGCTGACGTGTAGTTTGTCTCTAAACAACGTTTTTCGGTCATTAGGAATCGTTTTTTGACGTAGTTTTTTGCAGTTTACTGACGAACAACACGGCAGCCGTCAAATCTGATTGCAATTATATACTCACCGTTTGATTCTCTATCGAATGGATGTATCACATGTGACGGCTGCTGTATGGTTTGTCTCTAATTGACGTTTTTCTGTTGCCGCCCCTCAAGTTTTTGCGTCAGTTTTTTGCAGATTAGAGACAAACTATATAGTTTTATCAAATTCTGTTTGCGGCATTGATCTCAGCATTGAATTATCTATCGAAATGATGTACAATACATGGCATTTCAAAAATTGACTTTTTCCCTGATGGTACCATCAGGGAAATTGGGTCAAAAATCGATCTTTGAGATTGCCATATGGTATACATCATTTTGATAGAGAATTTAACTGCAAGTTTAACGGCGCAAACCGTTTTGACGCTTGTCGCATAGTTTGTCTCTAAATTGCGTTTTTCGAACAGTTCCCCCCCTGTTTTTTTAGCAGTTTTTACCCGTTTAGAGACAAGGTATACGGCAGCCGTTGAATGTGATACCATCGTTAGACTCTCCGTTCGATTCTCTATCGAACTGACGTATGATATATGACGGCTGACGTGTAGTTTGTCTCTAAACAACGTTTTTCGGTCATTATGAATCGTTTTTTGACGTAGTTTTTTGCAGTTTACCGACGAACAACACGGCAGCCGTCAAAT